ATGAAAGATAGAACAACTGGAAAGAAACTCAACAAAGATGCAGAAGAGCTAAACAATACAATCCACCAACTTGACCTTATAGACATCTACAGAGCACTTCACCCAACAATAGCACAATATACATTCTTTTCCAGTGCACATGGAACATTCTCCATGACAGACCATATGTTAGGCCATAAAGCAAGCATTCATAAATTCAAAAACATTGAAATACTGCAAAGCATCCTCTCAGATCACAATACTATCAAATTAGAAATCAACAATAGGAAGATCAATGGAAAAAGAGTAAACATGGAAACGGAAGAACACCCTCTTTAAGAAAGATTGGGTAAGAGAAGAAATAAAAAATAAAATTCAAAAATTCCTTGAATCAAACGAGAATGAAAACACAACATACCAAAATCTTTGGGACACAGCAAAAGTAATGATCAGAGGCCAAGTTATAGCAATAAATGCACAAATCAACAAATAAGAGCCAAAATCAACACTTTAAACCAACATCTCTAACATTTAGAAAAAGAACAGCAAGAAAAGCCTACAGTCACCAGAAGAAAGGAAATAATAAAAATCCAAGCAGAAATCAATGAAACAGAAAACAGAAAGGCAATAAAAAAAAATCAACAAGACCAGAAATTGGTTTTTTGAAAAGATTAATAAAATCGACAAACCACTGGCAAATTTAACAAAGGAAAAGGGGGAGAGAATACAAATAACACAAATAACAAATGAAATGGGTGACATCACAACAGAACCAACTGAAATATAAAAGATAATATCACAATATTATGAAGAACTGTACTCCAAAAATTTGAAAATCTCGAAGAAAAGGACAGATTTCTAGAAACACACCACTAACCTAATCTAACACAGACTGATGTGGAAAAGTTGAACAGATCCATAACAAAGAAGAAATTGAACAGGTCATCAAAAAATTACCAACAAAAATAAAGCCCTGGTCCAGAGAGTTTCACCAGAGAATTCTACCAAACATTCAGAGAAGAAGTGACACCAATCCTACTCAAGCTATTACAAAGAACAGATAAGGATGGAATCCTCCCTAACTCATTTTATGAAGCAAGCATAATCTTGATACCAAAACCAGGCAAAGAGATCACTCAAAAGGAAAACTACAGACCAATATCCCTCATGACTACAGATGCAAAAATCTTCGACAAAATCCTAGCCAATAGACTCCAACAACCTATCAAGAAAATCATTCATTATGATCTAGTGGGGTTCATATCAGGTATGCAAGGATGGTTCAACATTAGAAAAACAATCAACATCATCCACCACATCAATAAAACAAAGAAAAAGAACCACATGATCATATCAATTGATGCAGAAAAGGCATTTGGTAAAATCCAACACCCATTCCTGATCAAAACTCAGCAAAATAGGAATAGAAGGGACATTCCTCAACATAATAAAGGACATTTATCTATGCAAGACCAACAGCCAACATTATTCTCAATGGAGAGAGACTGAAACCATTCCTCTTGTGAACAGGAATCAGACAAGGATGCCCTCTATCACCACTTCTATTCAACATTGTACTGGAAGTCCTAGCCAGGGCCATAAGGCAAGAAAGGGAAATCAAAGGCATCC